TGCTGGTCTACGGCACAGAAGCATGGGCAATGACAACATCCGCTGAGGTGATCATTGGAGTGTTCGACAGAATGATTTTCCGGAAAGTTTACGGTCCTGTGCACGTTGGCGACGACGAATACCCCAGGCGAAGTAACGATGAGATGTAAAAGCTTTAAAACGATATAGACATAGTGCAGGGATTTAAAATACAACGGCTCCTCTCGCTCCATCATCTCATACTAATAGACACAAGTCTTGCAAGATGCTCTACATGTGGATTTAGCCTTCGATGTCATTGTGACTTCTAATATTGAAAGATAATTGGGGATGGGATGGGATGCTTGGCTGGAATTTAAGTGTGCCCTGTCAAAATATGCGTCAATTACGGATGGATCAGTCTTCTATATAAGCATCGGTTATAAGGTGGTATTGAGCATATTAGGTGAAAGGCAGCATGTCAACTTACAGATTGGGTCTTATCTGTGTGAATTTGTAATTTTTTCGTCAAAAAGAACAACCCTTATGAGTCCGACTCCGGTTTCGCTGACAACCGACTTCGTTTATTTAGGAATTAGCATTAAAACCATTAAAAATTACAGGTTTGAAATTCAACGGACAATCAACAACAAGTACTAATTTGGACTGAGTGGGCATTTGAGAAGTAAAGTCATTTCTCATCGTACACAAATCAAAGACACTCATCATGCCCCTGCTGGTCTACGGCACAGAAGCATGGGCAATGACAACATCCGCTGAGGTGATCATTGGAGTGTTCGACAGAATGATTTTCCGGAAAGTTTACGGTCCTGTGCACGTTGGCGACGACGAATACCCCAGGCGAAGTAACGATGAGATGTAAAAGCTTTAAAACGATATAGACATAGTGCAGGGATTTAAAATACAACGGCTCCTCTCGCTCCATCATCTCATACTAATAGACACAAAACCTTCAGCCAGGAAAGTGTACAATGCGGATACCGCTGCTGGTAGAAGAAGAAGGAGTCTTCTGCGAAGGAAGGACCAAGTGGAGAAGCAGTTGTCTTTATTTGTCATTTCCAATTAGCATAGGTTGGTGCAAAAGTGAAACGACTGGTATACTTTTTTGGACTCTGTCAAAGTTGCTTATCCCGATTTTGTATAGCGTATCAGCCTGTTTATTTTTTACCTTTCTTGCTTCCATGCAACCAGTAAATAACGGCACAGTGGGAGAAATCACGAAAAATCTGGCCATTTATAGTAAAAACCAACCTAGAGGCCTCAAATTTGGAACACAAGCTTATTTTGTGAATACTAGTATAAGGTGTTAATATAAACAAAATCCGCCCGCAAATTCGCCAATTTTCCAAAACTCAAGGCGTTATATTTGGGGAGCTATAGCAAAGTATATACACGGTGGGCAGGAAGCAAAGATAGGTTGCATAAAAATGTCGACAAAAACTGAAAGCAGGGTTGTATTTGTTGATATTTTTAGGTTAAGAATCCCTTTGAATTGAAATCCTAGCTGCTCCTGTTTTAAAGATATCCACATTTTACATAGTTATGATAGGACCGACTTTTGCGAAAGAGAAAAACATCCTTGTGAATTAAATATTCAACAATGTATGTGTGAGTAAATGTGTGTATATATATTATGTGAAAATATAAGTTTATGTAAGTTTTTAGCCGGTTTCAATCGTTTCCAAGGCGCACCACGTAGAGGCAACTTACTTTGCACCTCTTTGTTCTTTTTTTGGTTTTATTTTTTATATTTTTTTCTTGCTTTATTTTTTTATATTTGTTTTTTGTTTCCTTTTATTTTTTTTGTTGGCTTGGTTGTTAATATAGTCA